TTTCAAAGACATTGAAAGACATCTGAAATAACTTCGAAGGATCAATGTCTTGGGATCCTTATTGAAAACTCATTGTGAAAAAAATGTATCAATATTATATTAGTTTCTTTTGTCTTCTAGCGTATATTCATGATTCGAGAAAAAGACAACATTTAACACATCGCACTTCTTCTTACATTCGCCGTTCTCTGCACAAGGAACTGACAGACTCCGAATTCCGTTTGTAAAAATTTGTGCAAAAGAGTTGAGATAGTTGCAGCAGCTGCTCCCTGTCGAGGGCAGCCATGTATTGGTCTGCACAGGAAGTCCTGCGTGATCTCGTGTCATCTTTCTCCCGAACCCATTCCGTGCTCTGGCTCCGCGCAGCTCTAAGTGGATAACATCTTGACCCGAATGTACACAACTCATCCGAGATGGCTTGTAGAACTAATTGAGGCCGACTGATGGAAAGGAGGTCGCGCACATAACACATTTCTCGTCCATTTAAGGCCATACAACTGACATGGGCTGGTTGAACGACGCGGATACGACGCCCATATAACACTCTAGGCCTCAAATCTAGCTCTTGTCGTAAACTGACATCCGGACACAAGTTTGGGATAATCTAGCTTCGCTGTCGTATGTCAGTGCATTCAGCATTAAGTTGATGCGTCATAGCAGAAGGATAAAAACAAATATGTTCAATTAACAATTGACGTGTGTGGAGGAGAAATCGAAGAGAGTGCTTCTAGAGACAATCAGTGTTTAGTGGATTTTGTTGGCGTCTGACTACGCCTGTATGGTGCCTCACTATCACACTGACACTCTCTTCGACTATTCTGGTAAATGCGATTATTTTCAGCGCTTAATTAGTATTTATCATCCATTTTAACATCCTCTTTCCACTGGACGCTGCGATCTCTGAGCGAACGTCCAGGGACCAAACATTTGACAGGTCACTGAATTTATCAGTAGTACGTATACGTACACACAAAGGATTTTCAAAACATTTTGTATCTTGGTGTCTTTTAAACCTTACTTTTGTATCGGGCATCATATTCCAATTAAACAATCAAGGGTCACACAAATCCAATTTTGTCACTCAACGGTCCCCCGGCAAGTGGAGGGGAGTTTAAATTAGAATGATAATCCAGTTTTGTTTTAAAGAATTGTGATTTTCCATTGCGTTTTTCTGACGTATTAAGAGTCAAAAGCCGGTCAGCTTCCATACCTACTGTAGCACGTCAGGCAGTGTCCAGGGAAGACTGTTCCCGCCGCGCGTGGGCGGGGCCCGGTCCCGGGAGCCGGGCGGCTGTCTGCATATACCGCCTGTAATTTCCCTGTATCCGTCCGCATTAGAAATGGGGCCAGGCGCTGTTATCTCTACAGAGGTCTGGCCAGGGGCGACTCACTTGTTGAGTGGACTATGGAAACGTTTTAAAAGCAAATTTGCAAGGATGCTTGTCTGTGTACACTATCATCCATCAAATACAATCCAGCAGCTCAGGATAGCGAAGGTTCACGTCAAACTACCCGTGGAAAATGTATATACATTTTTACGATTCTATCTATATGGTGCAACGTTTATTCAGCTGAACAATTTCCATTGAATCACCTTGCAGCAGTTTTGCATGTGGTATTGTCATGTTGCTTGTGCTCTCGCATAACGCATTTGCCTGACGCAGCATCTTCCTTTGTCATGTTCCAGTCATGGCGTTCAGAAATCCACGGCAAATTAGTTTATCTTTCTCCATATTGACAGGTACGGCTGGTCCGCTTTGTACTCTAAGCGAACTATCGTTCTGAAAACCCTATCTCTTCGGGTATATATGCTAGGCAGACTGGTTTGGGCAGTTCTCAGTAACGTTTCTTTACCAGTAGCCACAGTAACGAAGATCCGGAGCTACCCAGCTGTATTCCAACAATACGGCAGTCTATGTTAGATGAGGAGGACCAAAAGACACACAGAATGGTTCAGAAATTTAATACGATCAAAATATGTAGGACGAATCATTACGATCAACACTTCATTTGTTTCCTAAATAATGGCACATGTTCCGAAATAATGAATTTTCTCGATTTCACATTCACTAGCCTAGTGACTTAGATTTTTTCATCAACTAGACTTAGATCCTATCATTGAAAAGCCGTCCCTAGCACTGAACAGTCTGCCTCATGATTCATGTTTGACCGCGGCCGCTCTCTCCCCGACTGTCTACCTGCTGAGTGCAACGTCATCACAAGAACTGAAAGTTCGTCATCTTGTATTGAAAGTGCGTCATCTATTACTCTCATAATTTGAAAAACCTTCCTGCTTGCACGCTTTGGCGAAATCTAATGGCTCATGTCATCACTGTTGGTCTAGTTGATGACACGAAACTAGGTCAACGAAAGGGTTAATCTATGTAGCAGATGACGTATATACTCCAAAGAACACTCGAATGAAGAAAACCCCATTAAACGTCACCCTCAGGGCAGTTTTCCACATCGTTTCGCTCCGCCTCTTCTTCCTTCCAGATGTGGACAAAACTGTTGTCTCTCCCGTAACTCCGTAACGCAAATTCATCAGTAAGGTTTCATGATTTGTTGCCAAAAATGATTATCCGGCTTTGGGAGAAAATCCACTTAAGTATTATTGAAAAGAAAACCAATGCAATCTATATCAATTTCTGCTCTTCTGACCTTTTGCCCCAATTTTCTTTAGCCCAGAACGTATGAGACGAGAGGTATAGTAATGTCGCCTAAACGTTTTGATGACTACCATATTGTGAGGTGTTACTGTTTAACTAATGCTGATGATCATCCACTGTATTTCTGCCCGCTGGAGGGTGCGTTGCTACATCAGTCATACGCTCCAAAACGTGACCCCTTGCAGCAGCCCCTCGCTTGCATTGCCTCCGGATGACTGGAAATCCAGCCAGAATTAGCTTATTTCCCCAAGGACATTTTAGGTCACACATACAGTAGCCATTTTGTAGATCCACGGGATATTGTGCACAAGAGAAAATATATTGATAGAGGGAGAAAGGTACGCAGCTGGTGGAAACTCCTGGGATGAGAGACCGGAGAGCCCTTGGGCCGTTGGTACGAAGAATCGATCTCCATTTGAAATTGTCGAAACTCAGTTTTCCGGCTGTAAACAAACTGCACATTGCTAACGATGTTGATTTCCCCGTGAACAAAACACAGGATGTAATCGTATATGAGTCTTGTGTTATATTTAAACCCACAGCGTTCAAATTGGCAAGTCTCTACAAACTGCCAAGCAAGTCAAGCCTCAGATACCCAACACGGATAACTCTGCCTAATGGGTCCTTCTGACAGATTACGTCATTTACGGCGCCAAGGACGTCCCTTGGAGGAATCTTTACGCCATCACATGGCGACACACATGTCAGAACCTACCACTGCATTCGTAGGGGAGGGCTCAGACTGACAGATTAAGCAACAACGTACGTCAACTCAAACATTTGGAACAATCAAGTCTTTCCTTTTGAATTTAAAGACTAGGTTGTAGCCTCTAAGTAAATGTAACGTAAATTGTCATTCCATGAAAGCGAACATTGGTTTAGTAACAGGATCAGCCAAGTTTCACTGGAGAGTAGCCCTGAATGTGCTTTCTAGGGGTAATATCGCGCAAAAACTTGACCCTGGATAATCCACGTGGTCGAATTAGATTAGAACGAGCGATGCTGTCACTGCACAGCTAGCTGTACTAGGGATCGACGGTATACATCTTGTGTAAAATGCACATAAAGATTGTTTGCGTCAATATATACTCGCTTATATTACGATACTCATATTTTGCGGAAATGAGTCAGAGTTTATCTTTGAATCACAGCCTTTCGTACTTAGCGAAAATAGCTCCATGAAGAACCCTTGACAACTGTCAGACATCGGACCGAACCACGCCGTCCACTTGTCTAGTCAACAAACTGTTGAGCATTTGAATCCATTTAAATTTCAGGCCTGATGGCATTGATGTTGTCGCAGGATAGTGCTTACTTAAACCATTAATGTACAACCGGAGGCATTGCGTTGGCGCCAACTTTTCATCGTACGGAGTCATTTCAGTTTATCCATGGTTGAAAAATACAGAATGAATGCACCACTGAAATGACATTATATGAAGTTGAAGTTGCTCTGTCTTAGAGTCCTCCCAACTGACCAATCACACTACGAAACCAGCCAAACTGTGAGATTGCTTTTTGCAGGGAACAAATGTACCGTAATAAAACCCCGGTAACCATGATTAAGCATAGATCATACACCTAAAGGTACACGGGGAACAGTCCAGCTAGTCTGCGTCAGGTCGTAAACAGCACCTCTCTGGACAATAGGGGAATCATTGTTACTACAGAGGTACCTTCAACGGTTGATTCGAGTTGGTAACTCCCTGCGCAGGTCATGGAAGGTCATAGAAAACTTGGTGAAATACTAGCTCGCCGTGAGATTGACCCATTGATCTGACTTGTAGATGCTGAGAGGCCATGGATGGGTACTTCTGTCCCCACTGGCACGTACATGTACTACCTGTGTTCATTGCCAGAATCTGCCCTATGCTCAATGTCATACCGGACTTTGGCGGTGCAGGGGCTCATGGTACCTGCTGCAGAAATCCACACAAGCCCAAAAGTACTTGTCATCTAAAAATGCCCATTCCATCACCTCCCATGGCTTCATGAATATCGCATGCATTGTTGATACTGTGTCTGCTATGTTTTAATCGTTATATAGCAATGAACATCATGTAACAAGAGAACTATGATGATAATGTGTTATGATGCAACAAGAAGTGTACAGATGCACTATATTCCAGTTTCAAGGTGGTTCAAAATCAAAGACCAGATAGCCAATTTCTTTGACCAAAGAAGGTATCCGAGTACGTAAGTTCCACATATTTATCTGACTTTTTTTGTCGTTGTCTGTATTGCAGCTTTTCATGGTAGACAACGGCGCAGATGACTGGAGGATAGCCATGACGTTTGAGAGAGTGTTCTTCATTGCGCTGGAACTTCTAGTCTGTGCAATACATCCTATTCCTGGTGTCTGGATGTTCACATGGACAGCTCGCTTGGCCTTCTCAGGCGCCGTATCAACGAAAGAAGCCGACGTCGACATCCTCCTCTCTATACCCATGTTCTTGAGACTCTACCTAATCGCCAGAGTCATGCTGTTGCACAGTAAACTCTTCACAGATGCTTCTTCCAGAAGTATCGGAGCCCTGAATAGAATAAACTTCAATACGCGCTTTGTTCTAAAAACGCTGATGACAATATGTCCAGGGACCGTCTTACTGGTATTCACTGTCACACTCTGGATAATAGCGGCCTGGACAACGACAGCCTGTGAAAGGTAAGGTCTAACCGGCTCATTTTGATTGCATTTCAGCTTATTTATTGTTGATGTGCATCATATGACTAGATTTCTTCATTACAGCCTGCCGATGATGATGACCATTTACTGCCTGCTCATTGTAGTAGAGGTTTCAAATTGGATGTCCACAGGCCACCCATAACGGCCAGCGGTCATGCACGTAATTTCACATGTTGGTCGTGAAATCAATCTGTTCATTACCCTGGATCATACCGCAGGCGATGTTTCCTCTCATTCAGACCCCAATTATCTCTCGTCCAATGATCTCTCACAGTTTGGTCATATAATCACACCGCAATTCTGCTGCCAAGATTATTAGAATGTGTATATTGACCTTGCAGCAAATCACTGCTTTCGACTGCCACGTTTCTACCACTTGTTGAAGCCATTGCGCCTACATTGAAGTATACAATCGTTGACATTGCCTTGACTTTTCTTCAAGATGCACTCTGTCATGTTATGTAACAAGTAATTGTATCATTGAAGCAGGTCATTGAGGTTTACTGGTTTGATAAACTACATCTCTTTCATCAGCAGACACGGTGATTATACTACAACACATTTGAAATGTCACAAAGTTAGGACTTGCAAGAAAGTATGACTAAAACGTCATCATTGGCTATGCTTCAGGCCAAAGCAGCTTGTTCACAAAGTAACGTAGATTAGACATTCCAGCCAAGTGTAAGCTCCTGTTTGGCAGACGCTGATGTATGCTAAAGGCGTCATGATCACAAGCTCCAGTCTAAAGTCTTAATAGTAGTAACGTTCACCCTTAGCATACTGTAGCAAGAGCTATCGCAACAAGTCCAACACTTAACCTTTCTTTAAGTTAGAAGGTTCTATCTAACGTGTTAGGGATAATTACTGTAACATGCCTAAACTGAAAGAAACACTTGTCTTTTAAAGGACAAATTATGTAAAAAGTGAAGCAGTTGTCGGAATTAAATTTCGGGCATTTTTTGTGTGGTATGTAAGCTAGATACCATAGGAACATGTTCATAAACATAAACAACTTTGTACTGCCACGTATCAGACCAGGAGAGAGCAGGTGCTGGGTGTGATAATCGATACCTTCCTTTCAAACACTTATTCCCACCTAAACCGCAGAGACAATTCAATCTGATGTCAGAAGGTTTTCATTTGTCTTGGACTTTAAAGTTTCTCTGCCTGAAATTAAATGTCGGGGAGAAGTCATTACATTTTACTCACGGGTGATCCCCCAGACCCTGAAAGTGCACGCCTTCGTGATCCGAACGTTGATTGATTCTGCACTATGGTGTAAAAGCAGATGAGAGGCGTGATACATCATTTTGTCTCGCACAACATACTGGAGAGTGTTTCACAGTAATGCCCTTCAGCTGCCGCACGCCAAATCCCTTGCCATAATACGCTGTCACGCACAGACATATCCGGAATGCTTCTACAATCATTATGAACGTGTCCGAACTGCTTATCTCAAGAATGCTTTGTGTCTATTGCAGTAAGACGTCGAAAGTTGTTTTGCATTGATGTTCCACATAACAAAACTGTAACAAGGTTCCACGTAATACTCGTACATTCTTATTCTAAAATTATACAATTCAGGTATGAGAGATTGATCAACTTTGTAGAAGTAATAATAAAATAGAGGAATTATCTGCTTCTTAAAAGCATTAGGCAGCGAATAAAACTACGTCAACTAAAATTAAAACATAGACATTAGGCAAAGTAATAGACAATGAATAGTTACATAACTGTTGAATATGTTGGATTACGGTGTATGATTAATTTATTACTGTTACATATACCCCTTTAATACTGCTTTTAAGCTCTAATGCAATTAGTCAAATGAGTATCAACCCGCTTTGTTTATCACCTGCCGTCGTCTCGTGTTGTTTGCACGGAATGAGTCGCCATCAGCAGTTTGGAAACTTCCGGAAGAGTTTGCATGCATGGCATTTATCAGGAACACAGTGACAGTCCAGGCGTGCACCTTTCAGGGACTGTGTTATTTCCTCCAAACTAATGTGCAAAGGTTGGTGTGGAGCATGTGATTTGTAATGATCTTGGCTGCCTTTTCGTTAATAGAAAGTTTGCAAGGGATCCTTGAGGAGTGGGTGGACCATAACTCAGACAGCCTGTTGTCCGCCCATATCTATAGTTTTGCAATTTAGCCATAACCCAGATAGGACGGGTTTTCGGGGAAAGACATGATGAAGAGATGGTCCCGATAAAGCGGAGTACCGTGAAGTTATAAATACAGGATTAACCCGCCGTACTCGCACATGCCTCATCGGCGGGAAGCAGCGGTTATTGGGATTTTCGTCCACACCATGGGAAATCATATAGTTCTGTTTAATCGCAAAGAATCAATCCTCTATCATATCTTCATCTTTATTGTTCTCTTGGTACCAACCTGACCTTTTTCCGTTCCAACTAAACGAGGTTTGATAAGCAAAGTGTTAATCCTGACAAGCAATCCGTCTTTGACCTGCCCCAGGGAATTTGACGAAGTTACGAATGTGAGAATACGATTGGACCGTTCAATGTTCATATTCATCGTGTATGGCTGCAAGTTTACGGCTTACTAAAACGTTGAAATGGACATCGCCTTGCATACAGAATATCTGTCAATCTTTTCAGATGAAGACAATTTATTCGCACATGTAAATTCATCTACATACACATTGAAATCTTTGAAATCAATATTCAGCGCCACAAAGTAGATTCATTTTTAATTTTTCTTTGGTGATAAAGTACGAGTATTGAATGCAATCCGAGGTCTTTTTACCAATTAGCAATCAACGAAAAAAGGAATTCTCCGGTTGATATGTTTAACACACAAACAGATCTGTGATAGCGATGCCCACAGCGTCAGTAGATTCCTTTTAACAGGATCAGTTCTTTTAAGGTTTCTTTAAATTTGATTACACGCCGTTGTAATATATAAATATAATACCTCTTTTTGTACGTATTTTCTACCCTTTATTTCTCCTCCCGCTAGTCTACATTATGGCCGGGATGAGTTCGGCGGATGATCCGAAAGGAATAAATGTCTACATCTTTTCAAATATTCATGAAGAGGGCTGATCCTGCTTTTAAGAGCTAGTGTATCCTAGGGTACGTAGCTTAGAAGACGATAGTTGTTGCTTATCATAAAGCTACGCACTGATTCATCGGTCTTGTCCGAAAAAAACATTACCAACAGAAGCGGTATCTTTTGGCCTTTATTAAATATCTTTTTGTGCCTGATACATGCATTCATACATGTACTTTTCCACCGGGTCACCCTAACAAACCTGAAATCTATGGCTCAATACAGTACTTTGACAACACATGTAAAGAAGAGTCAGGGATCATCGCTCGTGAAAGGACTTTTAAGATCTACATTTGATGTTGGCTATGCACAGATGGCATCCATTCCATTTCCTTGCAGAATTCAGTTACAGTCGTAAACGTCCAGTCGCTAACCCCTTTACGGCTTTTTATATTCCCACGAATCCCATCCCATCCCTGGTAAATCCATATATAGAAGGGCATTCTTTCGTAACGATCTACCTTCTGCCCCCAAAGCAGCCTAGACGTCTGCCGTCCATTTTGATGATTCTGCAAGAGCTCCCGAATCCTGCTCGATTAATGCACAACAGGAGAGGACTACATGGGCGTTTGACGTCATGAATATCTCTACGTGTTTAATGTTGACGCCCCTAATCTTGACCCCCTCTTGAGGCAAATGAAAACCACGCACTTAAGAGTATCTAACATGACATGACGTCATCCCTCCAGCGAGATAAACCTACAATCTCGCTTAACGCAGTTTTAACTTGATCAGTATATCTTTCAAAAGGTGGGTGCAAATCTGACTGTATCGCAAATAGATTCCACCGATAAAACCAAACGCTGGAGTGAAAATTGTAGCTGGAGGCTGAGAGAAATGGGGAAAAACGACGGACATAGTGCATGCAAGAAGACAACCGGGCACCAGTTGTTGATAATTGAAGGTGCCTTCATTTTCTAAGGTCGCAGATATT